AATCATCTCGTACCACAGTTAGTGCAGTATATTTGAAAGTTAAGCGTATATCTAAGATCCATGTAAACATTAACAAATTTAATTGACGGTCAGCGAAAGCATCTTTTTGAGCAGCAAGGATTACTTGCATGTATATAGACGTCTTCTAGACTCTGCGAAGCAAAAGTGTAGATGAAGAATTCTCGGTATACTTTTTTATGTTAGAGATTAACAACATTGATTCATTTGCCGCTACGTAGTACCTTAAATTATTCAAATCTAGATGAATAACTAGACGATGGGTGAAAATCACAGCTAGGTATATTCTATAAAAAATCTATTTTCATAGTGGGAACAAACGAAACTTCATCCTGTAGACGCCTTATAAGCAGATAGAGAGATAGTTTCTGTACAGATAAAGGCAAACTAGGCGCATTTGAGTCAAAATGTAAATTGTACGCATCTGACACCTTCAATGATCTAGTCAGTCATTGATTCAATTACTTTTAGCTTACCTACTTAGATACTTAGATGGTGTTTTCACTCGTCGTGCAGGCCATAGCATTGTTTCCATCCGTTTGTCTCTCACTAGCCACGATGTTGGTATTGAATTGCGGCGGCGACCTTCGCGAGGTCCAGAGCCATTACTAGTTACCAGCTGGTCCATCCGTGCCACGAACACGTCAGCCCATCTGTCGGTGGCCTCCCTCGAGGACGTTTTACTTCGCGAGGGATCCATTCCAGAGTTCTTATGCCAACGTGTCGTCTGTCCTTCTCATTATATGACCAACCCATCGATGTTTTGCCTTAGAGACGTATTCCCCTGCGAAGTCCGACGAGATGTTGGGTGCGTCGATTGAACTTCAGAAGACTTCGTTCCAGCGCTCTATTGGTCTTGTTCGGAATGCTTTCGACGTAGCCACAGTGTCAGGCCACGTCTTTGCTGCGTAACAGAGCGCAAGGAAACGGTTGAATCGAACAGGTGGGCTCCGAGCTCAGGGTCCGTCAGCTGGTCTGTGGCTTCCTTTAGGGGCCCGAACGCGGCCCAAGCTGCTCTTCGCCTCCTGTTTAGTTCTTCCTTTAGATCGATCTCCATGTTCATAGAACGTCCGAGATACAGGTAAGAAGACGTCTCCGCAATTGGAGAGCCCTCTATCCATTTCCTGATGCTCGCAAAGGGCGTACTTTATGAGCTGAGTCTTCTTCCGGTTGATTCGCAGTCCTATCCGCTTAATTCGTTTAGTTCCTTCAACATCGTCTCCGCTTCAGTGATATTTCTCGAGAAGAGAACAGTGTCGTCCGCA